GCTTTAACTTTTCTACATATCAGTTTGCTCTCTAAAGTGGAGATTATAACAGTACCTACCTCATAGACTCATCAGAAAGGATTAAGTGAGCTAATGTGTAGAAACTCTTAGCATAGTTCTTGGTGTTTGGTAAACAGTGAATTATAGGACCTATTTCTAGATTGAATCACTTTTGTGGTACCTGTAGACTAGAGAGAGGAGAGGCTTTGTAGAGAATGTAGTTTATGAGCTAGATCTTAGAAGATAACGAGTCAGCCTCAGTAAATCAAGAGAGGATTCCTAGTGGTACTGTGGCTGAGAGCCATAGATAGCATGACTAGCCAGAGAGCACAGGGCTGACTGTGACGGGAGGATGGGGGAAGGTGGGAAGGCCAGAGGAGGTGAAGCAGGAAAGATGACCAAGCGCTGCTCAGGAAGGGATGAAGGCTTGATTCCTCCACTAGTTCCTGTATCTGCATAGTTGGTTCCTCTGTTAAGCAGTCACATAAATGTCTTTAACAGCCACAATAAGGAAAAAGGAAAGAGCAGTGATTTGGCCTCAAATGAACTGGCATCTCTTTAAAGCTAATATTCCTCCTTGAGAATGCTGTTAATTAAACATGTGCCTTGCAAGATTCATTATTGCTTGTGCTCCCCATTGGTTGTCTCATTCATTAATCTGCTGATTAGTAACCCTGAACTCTTGCATCCCCCTTTTTTTGCATTCCCTTTTTAATATACTGTGCTGTTCCCCCGGGACATAAACTCCAGGACCCGTCCCTGGCCTGCTCATGTTTGTTTTCTTTGCCCCTTGTGCCTGCCTCTGCTATAACATTTGTAGTATGTGTTAAGTAATCCTTAAGGTAACATTTTTATTATGTCATAAAAAGTGCATGGCAAATATATTATAACTCATGGACTTTGTTTAAAAATGAACGGATAATTTATTGAGTGTGTTCCATGAGCCTTGCTCCCCTCCCCATTTCAGCAGAGACCTGCTGCTCATTTAGCCACGTCTCCTATTGAGAGCTCCCACCCTGTGACATGCTAGGAAAGCAGAGCCATGGTTGGCTAGAAATGACATCATAGTTTATGTACTCAATAAAAATTTAATTAAGTCATTACAGGAATTGCAGTCATCATTTAACCCTCTGATTTCTTCTGTTTAGCTTATTATTAAACATTCAGTAATACTAGTCACGAATCCTGGTGGCTTATAAAATATCTGCATGAATTTTAATAGCTTAAATAAATGGGAAAATATGAGTAACTGATATAAAAGGAACTTTTCCCATGTGGCAGTACAGTATGTATGGGTTTTTATAAAAGCAAAGCACTATGAAAAGGATAAGACTTTAATAAGCAAATGGCCCCACTCTACCTGGGAGGAGTTTCTCTGCAGTTGGGGGCATATGTGTATCCATGGGTTACACCTAGGCCGACCTGGCACTGGGGAAACAAGAAACCTGCACACCAGCTCACAAGCTTAAGTACGGGAGTAAAACTCAACAGGGGCTCACCACAGAGACTATCCAACTCTTCCTGGCTGGAAGGGCCAGGTGGGTAAGCCCAGCAGTGGAGGAGCTGCAGTCGCTTACCCTCACCTGTTGCCTCCAGAGCATGTGTCTGCACTGATTGAGCGTCTACCCTCTTCCAGGCTGGCTTTTTCCATGAGCTAATCCAGCATGGGTGATGATATCTAAAAACCATTCCTGGCTGAGGTAGCTTGCCATCTCACAACTAGAGGTGAGCGGGACAGGCAGCTTACAGGTCACTGCAGTTAGCCAGGAGGCAGAGGAACCTGGCTAATAAGGAGCTCCACTCTTTGTTCTTCCTGGATAGCAGCCAGCAGGATGCAGGTGTATCCCAGAGGACAAAATGAGTTTGTACGTACTTGGACCTTGCTGGAAAGCAAGAACTGATTATAAATTAATGTCTCATTGATCTTTAGAAATGCTCTGTAGATGGTGAAGTAGGAAAAGTATTTGCCCAGAAATAGGATTCTAATCCTGGCTCGGACACTAACTTGACGTGGCCTTGGATAAGTCTCTTCTACGTTTTAGACCTCAGTTCAGTTTGCTCAGAGGTATTGAGCTGGGTGATCTCAGAGGACTACTGGAGCTCCAGAATTTGTGACATGATGCAACAGGGAAGCCAGCTCTACTGAGCAGCTTCCATGAATGCTTTTCTTGGAGATGTGCTTCTGCCTTCATGTTTGACACCCCCAAGTTGTGCTTTTGTGGCTCTGATCCCTCTCAAAGTTAGAACAGCTGATGTGAGAGAGCCCCAAATGATTCCCAGGAGGGCTGTGTTGATGTCTCACATGACAGAAGAGATGAACTCCCTTTGGTTTATTTCTCAACTCCTTTCAGCCCAAGCCACATGGAAGATGCTGTGGTGGAAGTTTGGCAGTATATGTATCTGAGATTTCAGAAACCTAGAAGAGGGGCTGGGGAGACGGTTCAGTAGAATAAGCACTTCCCTGGCAAGCACAAGGGTCTGAGTTCAATCCCCAGTTCTGCCAAAAAAAAAAAAAAAAAAAAGAGAGAAAGAGAAAAGAAAAGAAACCTAGGAGCTGATCAACAGCAAAATGCCCAAAACAGCTGGTCATTGGACATATGCTATGAATGGTGCCCTTGGAAGGATTCATTTAGAATGCCTGTTTTAGCCCCTGCGGCGGGCCAGGCCCTGGACCAGGTGTTGGAGTGCTGAGATTAATCAGTCTTAGTTCCTCAGACCTTTGATTAGCTCCCAAACTGGTGGGAGAGGCGGGTCCATAGCAACTCTCAACCGTGTTTTGTACTGGGGGAGATGCGTATGTGGAGCCATGAGACCACAAGATAATGGCTAATGTGGTCCAGGTTGAAGGTGGGTGGGAAAGGTCATGGTTTGCCCTCCCAGCTACCACCGATTTCACATTTTCCAGCCTTGAGCTTCACAATTCTGTCTTCATTTTTGAAAATTATCCATGACTATAAAGTATTGGAACTGGTTTTAGTTTTATATAAACAAACCAGAAGGTATTACTCATAATTCCTTGCATTCGCAGAGCGCTGTGCAGTTAGCAAGGCTTTCAGCCTATGTTGTTAAATTAATGAGTGAATACATACTTGCCCACTGGCTCTTGAAGACAGCTTTTGTGTTTGGAGCCTTTAAAAGCCAACGGAGTAGACTCAGAAAGGGGAATAGACTTGCTTGATAGCATCTCGATCTACCTAGTAGAACTGTCACTTTGAACCCAGGTTTTCTGACTCTGAATCTTTTTACTTTTTCTGCTCTTCTTCAGAGACCACTTATAAACCACAAGATAAAATCACTTAAGTCTTTTTTTTTTTTTAATACCAGGACATAAACTCAGGACCTTGCTCTTGCCAGACCGGCACTTGTGCCACTGAGCTATGTCCCCAGCCCTGTCACTTAGTTTTTAAGTTATGATCCTTGTCTGGGATACAGGAATCCATGGTATGTGGATAACACAGATTTTGGATTCAGAATGAAGCGGATGCTCGTCTCAGCTTTATCGCTGACTTGCTGTGTGATCTAGGGTAAATCACTTCACCTCCCCAAGTGTCTCAGTCACCTATAGCTGACTGTAACATGTTTCCCTCTGCTGTGAATGAGAGGAAGTGATCCCCTGCAAGTGCTCAGTAAGTGTAAATGATGTGGTTGTAGAGAGGGTTGTTAAATACGAGTCTTATTCTCCATAATAAGTTCCAAATAATGTTTCTAATACCTGTCAAGTTAAATAGGCAGTGAGTCCTTACTTACTCTGTGTTCCGTACTGCGTGGGCTTTCTGCTGGGATCCCAGAGAAGACTAAGCTGTGGGTCATGCCCCCACGCACGTGGCAGTATGCCTGCAGGTCAGAGTTTCACCCTGTGAAAGATACTCAGTGAGCCTCAGTTCCGGCTCGGATGGTGCTCCTGGTCGTCCTCCAGGAGTCCACCAGGATCTCCAGTCTCACAGGAATTGGGTTTCTAAGTCACCTCAGCCTGCAGTCTGACTCCTGACCCGCCCCTCTCTTCCTGGCTCGCCACAGCTTCAGAGGCCTCCTTCCTTCTCCGTGTCTCACAGTTCTGCGCTTCTTCACCTGTCTCCCCACTTCTGACAGCTTTCTTCCTTTTGTTTTTCTCTGGAGACCTTTGCCAGCCTGACCTCAGCATACCTTCCTGGCGGTCCTGCCTGCTCGCCCAGCCGGCCAGCACTCCCTAAATGTCCTTTCTCCAGCCATTCACCTTTGCCTACCTTCTTCCTTTGGCTTCAGAAGTTCTCTCATTGGGCTTCTCTTCTGTTAGACTCCTCTCAGTTCCTGTGCACTCTTCATCTGCACAGAAATTCACTCGCCTCTCAGCACACTTAGAATGTGATTAGAATGTGATTTGAGAGGCAGTAGGCTATAATAGTTTTTAAATGTTTGGGTGTGTGTGTGTGTGTGTGTGTGTGTGTGTGTGTGCGTGCATGTGGTACTGAGGATCGAACTCAAGACCTTGCGCTTACCAGGCAGGTGCTTATGCCCCTGAGCTATCTCCCCAGCAGTACTGGGAATTGAATACAGGGTCTTCTCACTGAGCTACATCTTCCTTTTTTCTATTTGTTTAGTTGCGACAGGGCCTGAAACAGTCACCACATTGCCCAGATTGGGCTTGAATTTAGGCTCTTTCGTGCAGCAATTTGTTTAAATGCCTGTTTTCCCACACTATACTAGACTAAGGTCTCCTTCGACCAAGATACTGTTTCTTATGTTTTGTGTTCAGAGCATCCGGCACAAAACCAGACATGTAGCTGGAGATCAGTTCATTAAACTGACTGCTTTGTGTAGTTTGGGACAGAAACCTAAAAGAAGTTGGCAAATCAGTGAGAATCTTGACAGATGCGGGAATTGGGAATGGACTGACAGTTTGATTTCTGAGAGTTTCTTTCTCTTTGTTCTTTTAACAGCCTGTGACAGCTCAGAGCCAAAGAGCATACTTTTTGGTTTTTTCCTTTCTTTAATACTTTTGTTTTTGCTCTTTGTTTTTGTAGGTTAATCCCTACATCCTGAAGAAGAACATGATCCTCATGACAAATAATTTCTATGCAGCAATCTTGGGATATGATGAGGTAAGATCACTTGCCAAGCCTTAGCCATAACAATGGCCTCCTCCAGCAAAGGCTTTTGATGACAGCATCTGAAGGAAACTTCCAGGACCATCTTTACGGGATGTGCTGTCCATTACAGCTCAACATCTACTTCTCTATTTTCACTGACTCGTTTAGGAAAGAGAGTACTATATAATATGGTCAGATTGCTCAACCAGTCAGCATTTGCTGAAAGGCCCCTGGGTGCTGGCTGGAAAGACAAAGGCGAATCAGTGTACAAACCCAGCTAACACCAGAATCTTCCAGACAAATTATACATACTTTTTTTGTTTTAATTATAAAAGCAACATATATTCATTTTAAAAATTCATAAAACTACACAAGCAGTCAAAAATAGAAAATAGAAAGCCCAGTGACAGGATATGACTGACTGGTAGAGTACTTGCTCAGCGTGTCTGACGCTCTGATCCCCAGCACTGACAAGAAAAAGGAGTGGGGAGGACTTGCTTTTTGTTCACTGAACAGTGTATCCTAGGAATCCTTTCACTTCAGAACGTACAGATGCATCTCATCCTTTTTTTTTTTTTTTTTTGTGGCCAGCTCAGCCCACCCTGAAAATGAAGTCCAGACTGGCCTCAAACTCATGGCAATCCTCCTACCTCAGCCTCCCAAGTGCATTTAGCTGATTTTCTTTCTTTCTTTCTTTCTTTCTTTCTTTCTTTCTTTCTTTCTTTCTTTCTTTCTTTCTTTTTCTTTTTTTGTGGTACCGGGGATTAATCTCCCCAGCCCCTGATTCTCAGTGTACATAACTGAGTAGCATTAAATATTCCTGTTGTTATACAACTATTCCTACCATCCATCTAGAACTTTTCCACCTTCCCAAACTGAAACGCTGTATCCATTAAACATTAACTCCCATACCCTCTTTAGCACTGGCAACCATCATTTTCCTCCAGGGTCATCCGTGTTGTGGTATTTATAGCCTGTGAATGTATTCCTAGCCCCTGGTGACCATCATTATACTGTTTGTCTCTATAGATTTGACTTACATTGGGAATATATTGGTGAATCTGATACTTATATTTACTGATTACATTCTGACTTCAGAAACCTTACAATGTATAAAAGAATGAGAAATATAACTCTATTAGCATTTGTTTATGGTCTCCATTGCAGGTGAGTAGGCTCAATTGGCTTTTGTGAGGATCAGTAATAATCCTGTCTGTTCTCTGACTCTAGTCCCCAGTCCTGTCTGCTCTGACAGAGCCATTTGACTTGAACATTGCCCTTCCCAAGAGTCCCCTGGAGTGCCTTTCACATTCAACCCCTTAGCACTTCAGACAACACTCTCTGTTCAGTGGCAGTTTTGCCTGAGGCTTCAGCAAGCACCCCAGGTGACTGTTCAGGGACCAAAGTTTGGGAATATGCTAATTACATGAGACAGTTTTTAGAAATACCAGGGTCTTGGCCCTGTGCCCCAAAGTTTCTGATTCAATTGATGTGGGTAGGCATCTGTAATTTAAAAGATCTCAGGGAATTTAAATATGTAACTCTGGAACAGTTTTTCTTAAATTTTAAAGAGATCAGATTTAATACTCTGATCAGTGTAATACTCAGATTTGGATTTGGTGGGTCTGGGGTGGGGTCTGAGATTCTGTGTTTTGCAGAGTATTTTGGAATTACAAGGCTTGGGAGGTATCCAGTACTAGCTACATGCAGTTATTTTTACTTAAATTAGGTAAAATTAAAAATCCAGTTTCTCATCTGTGGTGATCACAGTTCAGGTCCTCACTGACTGCATGTGGCAGAGGCCTCTGTAGACTGTGCGGAACATCCCCTCCTCCGTTATGGAGTCAGGAAGTTCTCTCGGCACCACCTCTTTCTACTGTCTTGCTGGGTTGCTTTCTCTTCCTGCACACTTTTGGAACCTTCTTGTTTTTCTCTTTCATGAAGTCCAAATTGCTCTATGGAAGTCCAGGTCTTCTGTGGGCTGTTCCCATTGTTGTAAGTCCTCTCCACCTTTACCTCCTGCTGTCCAAGGGAGAATTGTTGTGCCACCTAATGTTTTGCTCCCACATAACCTCTTCCCTTTTCTTAGTTTAAACTACTTTGCATCCTTAGACCGTTCTCCCATTAGTTTTCACCGAGTTAGCAACAGTCTTGAGGAGAGAAGGCTGCCGCTGGATTTGGTCATTTTCTGTGCCCTCGCATCATGTGCCAGGGCTTGCATTGTGTCCAGAGCTAGGCAGTCGCCACCCTCTGACCTCAGTGGTGCACACTGGTTCTACTTCCATTGCAGTTGGCACACGAACCCCTGAACCTCCATGCTTAGCTTTCAAACAGGTTTAATGATATCTGTTCTGTATGTAGTCATGGAGAGCCAGCTGTGTGGAGGGCCTGACCATCCCGGGCAAGCAGTGCTGTTGGGGCCACTGTTCTGGAGCTCCTGCTTGTGGGTTACCCCATCTCAGCCATCTCCCCCACACTGAGGCTGCCTGTCTGGAGAAGGTCATGGTGACTAGGCTTTTCTTATCTTGGGCTTTGCTCATGCTTTAGATCCCAAGGCACACATTTCCATGCCTGGTCCTTCCCATATCCCACACGTGGGTCACTTCCAGCAGTACTTCAGGCTGTGCCCAGAGCACTCCAGACCCTGGCAGGGTGTCGTGTTGGCACATAGAGTGGGGAATGGTGACATGCCTGAGCTTGTCCTTGGCCTATGTTGCCATTTGCCAAGAGAGGCAGGGTTTTCCTGACTCAGCTGTGGTGCCAGGACAGTCTTCAACTGTGGAACCATGGAGATGTTTAGCAGAGGGCATATGGAGCAAGTGGAATGCACCCCACCAAACTGTCAGCTCCCCACACTGGATATGGTCCTTCCTGGCAGCAGGCCTCCTCTATCACAGGGCCCAAGAGGCCGGACCAAGAGGCCGGACCAAGAGGCCGGACCACGACACACACAGGAGAAATGCTCCTGTGTCTTTGTAGTGTATAAGGAGTCTTTCATAGCCATTGTCTCTTCACAACAACCCTGTGGGGTGAGACTGTTGTCTGTTTAACTGATGAAAAACTGAAGCTCAGGGAGGACTAGTGGTTTTTCAAAGGCCATGTGCCATCAAGTGACAGAGCTGGCATTTGAACTCAGGCTATCTGGTTCCCAGATACCACTGTTGTCTCTACTGTATCCACAGCTGCCAGCCAAAGTATGCGCCTAGTCCTTGTAGCCAAGATACTGCATTTTAAAGTGCTTTTATACTTTTTTTTTGGGGGGAGGGGTGGTGTTAGGGATTAAACCCAGGGCCTTGTTGGTGCTAGGCAAGCTCTCTGCCACCTAGCATCATCCCCAGCTCACACTACCTTATTTTCCTAACTGAAGGATGCTGTGGTAGACAAGTATTTTCATCTCTTTCTAATAACTGAGAAGTGTGAGGCAGGTTTAGCCACCACCATTGAGTGTGGCAGTAACAGTACTAGGACTCAGTCCAGCCTTCTGACTCCCCCAGTCAGCACCTCAGTTCTGCATGCTGCCTTGACTCCCAGACAGAACAGCTTCTTGAGGCCTTTCCCTTCAGGTGCCCCAGGCTTCCCAGCAGAGTTCCCTGTTCCAGGAGGGGCAGTGTCAGGCGTGTACTCGTGCAGACTCTGAACACCACCCTGTGTGGCCCTTGCTGATCTTTCTGAGCAACGTGTTCTGCTCATGATTGGCCAGAGACAGGCAACAGTAAAAGAAAGGTACCTGGCTCTCTTTTCCAAAGAGCAGGCTGTCTTGCTGGTGTGTGCCTGTGAATCGGCTGAGAGGGAGTAGTCCACACCCAGCTCCGTGCTCAGAAAACTTGTGCTCGAAGTCCTGCCATGCTCGGGGACAGCAGCAGAGGCACTGCCACTCCGTCATTCTTTGTGGCCTCTCAGACCCTTCCTGGGCCAGGCACAGTGCAGTAGAGAGGAGAAATGTGCCTGGGAGGCCAGCCAGACCTTAGTCCCAGCCTGCATCACCTCAGCAGTGACTTGGCCCCTCTGGGTTTCATATTCTTTCTCTAAATAAAGTGAAGATGTTGGCCAGGCACATGTCTTGTAACCTCAGCATTCTTGAAGCTAAGGCAGGGGGATTGTCACAGTTTCAAGGCCAGCCTGGGCTACAAAGCATGACCTTATCTCTATACCCTTCCCCATAAAAACCAAAGGGATTGAACCACATGTTCCTGTAAAACCCCTTCCATGTAGCTGACCCATTCCCTGTCTTAGTATCTTTGAGGTCCTTCTGAGAGAGTGGGGTTTCTGTGTGTTGTTGGGGGATTTTTGTTTTGTACTGTGGATTGAATTTGAGGCTGCCACAGTGTTACTTTCCTAGCTTGTTTTCTTGTTTGTTTTTTGAAACAATTTCTAAGTCACTAAGTTGTCAAGACTAGACTTGAACTTGTGATCCTCCTGCCTCAGGCACCCAGGGTATTGGGATTGCAGACAGTTTAAACCAGTTCTTTGTTCCTTTTCCCCCTTTGTCATGACTGTGATATTCCCTGGAAGACCAGTTGTTATACTCTATGTTCCAGGGGATCCTTTCAGATGACCACGGGTTGGCTGCTGCCCTCTGGAGAACTTTCTTCAACCAGAAATGTGAAGACCCTCGACAGCTTGAGTTGCTGGTGGAATACGTGAGGAAACAAGTGAGATAGGTGTTCCCCCCAACACACACACACACACACACACACACACACACACACACACACACAGAGTCTTATGGAAAAGTGAGTCCTCCAAGCACTGTGTGTGCTGGACTTCTGGGGTCGTAGGAAGGCAAGTTGCCAGAGGCCAGGCTGAGGGAACTCTGACTGCTCCCAGTAGTGGCTGGCACCAGTGATGAATGAGCCAGACTCGGGGCCCAGCACATAGGGACAGAGAGGAAAGTAGCTTACCTCTGGCTTTCAGAAAGCCATAGCTGTTCTTCATCACAACTTTATTACCTGCAGTGTGGCCATGGCGTCCTGGAAGACAGGGGCATAGTGAGCCTTCTGTACCCACTTAGAGCCCCAGGGCTCGTTTCTTGTTCCTGACTTCTTGCAGGCTGGGCTGCTGCAGCCTTGCACAGACACACCCTGCCTCTTCTACAGACCGCTCTCCATTGTCTAGTAGCCCCCCTTGGGACCTTTGTGTTCCTAGGGCTCCCGGACTCTGAGGCTTCTAGGAGAAGCACTGTTTACCCACAGAGCTTTTTCACATTCATTGAGAATGAACTTACTGATCTCCCTGCCCCCAGATCCTGTATGGATGGGAAACTCATACTTTCTAGATGGGTACTACAGGGGAGAGCCACAGACCCTTTTCCAGGGTCTCCCAGTGAGTCAGCCTCTACTACTGGGCTCGACCTCATGTTGGGTGATTCCTGTAACACTAGAGGTCTCAGCTGCTGCAGACAGCTCATCAGCCTGGGCGGTCGGTGAGTCACACCTTTGCTTCCTGGGCCTGGCCTGCAGGGCAGAAAGGCTCTCGTTCCACAGTGAAGTCTCTTGTTCACCTGTATCACTGGCCTTCAAGCCTCCAAAATGTAAAAGAAAGAAAGGCAGACACCAGGACTTGAGCAGCCAGGGCCAATAGGACTAGCTAATAGGTTGCTGGAGATTTGTCCACTTGAGACTCTTTAGGTCTAGACAGTAGAGAGCCCCAGAAGCCAGGACTTCTGTTTGACCATTCTTCTGTCCAGAGCCAGGAAGAAGGTAATGCGGCCAGAGGGCTCCACCCACAGAGAATTCTGAGACTCACACTGTTGACAGGACTCGCCCTCAGACAGAGTAGCAGTTGGCAAATCAAGTGCTGTTTTCTCAGAGACCCACCCAACTTTTCCATCTGCTGTGGTGGCCTTGTGCCAGAGGCCACAACAGGACACAGCTGGGACCCCTCCAGGGTCTCAAAAGGAAGAACCTGCAACAATTAATGTCTCTACACAACTCATGACCATGGGGAAAGCCAGGCAAAAGTGTTGAGGCTTTTAGGAAAGTAGGGAGCTTTCATGGAGATCGAGTTCTCTCAGCACGTCTAGGCTGTGCCCAGTCCTGTGCTGGGAGGCAGAGATTGATGAGGCCCAGTCTTGTACCAAGGAGCCAGTTAGGTGCACAGCCAGCCCTGGAGTAAGGCAGACAGTAGGCAAGGCTGGAGAAAGAGTTGTGTCCTGACTCAGAGGAGCAGGGAAGACCAGGAAGCTAGGCCTTGAGCAGAAGAGTCCCACACTTGGTGTTGCATGATAACCACTCAGGCCATGCTGAAGTTTGCAACCAAAGAAATGGGTAGAGTGGTGGGGTTAGGGCAGGATGCTGGGAAGGGAAATGGGGTTTTGATTTTTTGTTTGTTTTAATTTAAGAACCTTAACATTTGAACCTGTAGAAAATGAATGTTTTATTAATGTAGAGTAGAAGGAAATCATCGTAAATGACTTTCTTTTTCTTTTATTTTTAAAAATATTTTTATGTAATAAGTAAAAGCCCTTCTCCAGCCATCCTGGTGGGACATCTGTCTGTCTCTCCAGGTCACTCAAGGTAATGGGAAGAAAGAACAGGGGCCCAAGTCTGAGGTTATAGATAACAGAAAATAAAAGATCTTCCATCTCCAGTGGGGGAATAGATGAGGATGGGAGGGCAAAACTGGGTGGGAACAGACAGGGGAGAGCAGAAACTCCCACTCCCACCCCACTGGACTCTGGCCTGCCCTGTTTTGGTTTTTGCTTTTATGAGACAGGTTGTTGTTCAGGCTGACCTTAAATTCACTATGCAGCCCAGGCTAGCCCTGAGCTCATGGTGATCCTCTTGCCTCAGACTCCCAAGTGCTGGGATTACAGGTGTGCGCCACCATGCTGGGCTAGGAGAATGGGTTTTAGGGAAGATAGTTTGGTTGAGCTTCTTGTCCCAAGGAGATACAGGACACATGAGATTCCAGACCTAAGGTGTGTATGAGAGTCTGGGATTGATTTCAGGGGTCAGCAGTCTGAAGATGGAGCAACAGGGGGATTAGTTCTTAGAAGGGGCTGAGCCAAGGCCTAAAATAAAGCCCTGGGTCTTCCTTCCATCTCCCCTGAGGGAACTTTGTCCAGATCCAGTGCCACCTCCTGCTCTGGTCCACTTTTCACCTTAAATGTGACCAGTTTGCATGACAGCATTTCTCATCTACTGTCCTCTGTACTAGCAGGTAGCCTGGGGAATCTTCCCAGAGCTGCCGTCATCTCCTGAGACTCCCTTTTCTCTTTTTAAATGCTTTTTTTTTGAACCCCTTCTCTTGTACCTTCTCCCATTTGCCTCTGTTCAGTGTCCCCTCCCCACAGGAGGCTGCGCACGTGGATTTCTGGGTGGGCCTAAGAGCATCCAGAGGCCTGGCATCACCCAAGGCAGTGGTATCTGGAGCTCACCACCTCTATGCCAGAGGGGCTGGAGGCAGAAGTGGTAGAAAGCCCAGAAGGAATATGGTTGCTCTCAGTTGTGCCGAGCAGGTATATATGGCACTTGGTGCTTCTGGTTCCAGTGGGAACACCAAGCCTCAGTGGCAGGCGCACAGGACAGTGGCAGGCGCATCTTTAGGATGATGACCACTTCAACAGCAGAGTTGTCCTAGAACCAGGAAGCTGGACCCACTGGCCAGCATCAGGGCCCCCTAGAGGACTGTGGAGAGATCCATGTTAGGAAAAGCTCATTTGAGTGACCAGCACTGTGCTTGTGCCTTATTTAATGCTTCTCTGAGTCCGATGAGGCACACGTTTCTTCTGTCCTGTCAGATGAAGAAGCCTAGATCTCAGAGGAGGGAAGTGGTCACCAGGAAACTAGGAAGAGACAGAGTTAGGATTCTTTCTCCTGGGAGCATTGGATGGGGGTGACAGGTTGACTTTCTGACCTGAAGAACTCTGTAGGGAGGATATGGTGAGGGGAGCATTGTCCTTGGAATGTGTGTCACCATACCAACGTGTCCCAGGGAATTCCCTAAAACCTTCTCAGTGAGCCTCCCTAGTGATTGTTCCCCAGATCTTAATCAGATAACCTGGACATCTGAGAGCTGGTGGTCAGAAGCTCCGTGGCTCTGTTTCCCTTCCTCTTGTTGGGGAAGCTGATTCCTTTTGTCACCTTGCATGTGTTTTGTTCCATCCTTTTCCTCTGTTCCCTACAGATGCAGTACCTGGACTCCATGAGTGGTGAGGATCTGCTTCTGACTGGGGAAGTGAGCTGGCGCCCTCTGGTGGAGAAGAATCCTCAGAGCATCTTGAAGCCCCGTGCACCTACTTATAACGATGAGGGTCTTTGAGGGGCTGGTCCCTGCAGGCTGCTGGCCAGCTGGCTTTGAGGAAGTCTAGTGGACGAAGTGCTTGGTTGGTCTGGGGCCCTGCAGAAAGTGGCCTGAATTGACCTGTGAACAGCGTCTGTCAAGTACCTGGCCCATTTGTTGGTTTTCCTCTTAGTGTGATCTGGTGGGGGCATAATGCTGGCAGAACCTTTAGCTCTTCTGAGCTGTTGGCTGCCTTAAGAGGAGAGGCCAAAGCTGGTCATGGTGGTGCACACTGTAATCCCAGCACTCTGGGAGGCTGCAACAGGAGGAGGTTTGCAAGTTCAAGCCCAGCCTGGATGAGTTAGTGAGACCCTATCTCAGAATAAAAAATAGGAAAAGGGTTGGGGATGTAGCTTAGTGCAAAAGCCTGTGGTTTAATCTCCAGTCTCACAAAAATGATGATAAAAAACAGAGACGCCCTACGTAGAAGTTGCCTAACACATGCTCCCCTCATCCCTCCAGCAGCTTTTTCCAAAGGAAAGGGTAGGGGGAGTAGAAAGGGGACACACCCTCCCCCAGGGGCCTGCTGTGACCTAGAGCTGTTTGTAATGCTGCCAAGTCAAGATGGGTACCCTGGCTTTGAGCCATGGGGTTGAGTTGGCCATTAAAAGAAACAGTCTCATGTCTGCCATAGCTTTTCTGTATTCTAGAATCTCCTTAGGAGCGTATATGAGAGCACAGCCGCTGTACACTAAGGGGTACTTCCCAGCTCAGGTAGAAACAGGGAAAGGAGAAAGCTCCGGGTCTGCTGCTGCTTTTGCCTTCAGTTTATAGATGTGCCGCTATCTGGCCAAGAGAGCGACATCCTCTGGTAGCCAGAAGGCCTCTGATGTCCACGGGGCCGGTCAGATCCTACATCTGTTAGAAAAAAGCCTCAAGAACAAAGGTCCTTTCATTACCCCACCCACCCCCGGGAATTGGGTGAGGAACGTGCCACCTTTGCTCTCTTGGCCTCCCCTTATATGAGATGTTGGGAAAAAGGAACATTCCTCCAGGGTTAGTTGCACTGTCCCAGGACTAGCCCCGTTCCTGCTTCCAGCTTCTGGAGTCCATGCTGCAGCGCCACCTGGTCAAAGCCCTGCAGAACCAGACCCCTCCTCTCCTGGAGTGTGGGTCATCTCTTAGGAGACTTTCTTACATTGAAATAAGGGGGGAGGGGAGCCACCCTGCCCCTCCCTCCCCCATGAGACTGCCTTCATTGAACTTGCTATAAAATGAGTCATATAAAGAAACTCTATATGGGTGAGGTATATCCCACTTCTGTGAAAACATTACAAATCAAACCACCTTCTCTCAGTTTATTTAAGATGCTTTTGTTGCAAGCAGAGCCCTAGAGTGAAGCCTCCTCTGTGTGTGTGAGATAATAACACCTTGTAACTCATTACAGCTGGCCACTATTTACATAAACCAGAGCCAAGCCAGGCAGGAATTTGCTGATTAATTTATTTTTAATGGAGTGAAGTATACCATGCACCAAAATAAACTTTACTGTGTGTACCTAACTGCTCTTGGAATGGATGGAAAAATTAATGGAACAGATTTTGGCTCCCAGCTCTGCACATTAATTCATATATAAAAGTTATTTGAGCGTTAACCCATTTGCTGCCCAGGGCAGCTCCCCAGCCACAAATCCTAGCCCACAGCACCAGGTTAGCTACTGGGCTTGCGTTAGAATCCCGGAACCTCAGATTTGCAAGGAACTTTCAAGATCATCTGCGCCAGCCCTGGTCCAAAATGTGACTGCTCTGCTTAACTTCCACGTTGGCCTGTGTTCATGCAGGCCCTGGATGGATCCCCAGCAGCAAATAGGTGGTCCCTGCCTGCAGAGGACTCGGGTAATCGGTCACATACAGCAGCTTGCACTGGGGGGCCACATTTGAAAGAGCCAAATGGGGCCTGCTATGTCTGCGATGCCTCAAAACCTTTCGGGCTGTACGCATTTTTCCCTGGCCACACCAATCCCTTTCCCTTTCAAGATAAAGTCTAGGTTCCTTGGTGGCTGTAGGCTCTTCTCCTGTGCCTCCATCTCATCCTATTCTAGGGGGCTCTAACCCACTTTCCTGAGCAAACTGAAGCCCCACGCAGTTACCTGAAGGGACTACACTGTGTCCTCTGCCTGGACTGTGTGCCTTGGGCGGCTGACTGTAGAGAAATCCCACGCTTCCTCAGCTCCCTTCCTGCACCTAGGCCACGCTGTCCATGGTGCTCCTTTCAGCGTACTACTCTGGTCACTGTACCTCCTCGCCACATTTTCACATGCCCGTCTCCCATGCTGCTCTGCGAGCTGCTTCCATTCAGAGCAAATACCAGATTTTCCCAGTGTCCAGTACAGTGCTTGGCTCACAGCATCTGTGTATACTTGACTAAACAAGAGAACAGATGGCTCAACTATCATTATTAGGACAAGCCCAACCAAAAAAAGCCTTTTAGGGGGTTCTCCAACTGAACTGTGATTATTTGAACAATACTAAGCTGGGTGTAGTGGCACATGCCTGTAGTCCTACCTACTCAGTCGGCTGAGGCAGGAGGATCACAGGTTTGGACAACTGAAGGAGACTGTCTCAAAGAAATAAATAGGCTTGGAGTACTTGCCCGGAATGTGCAACACTCTGACTCGATCCCCAGGACCCCAAAAGAAAAGAAAGAATGCTAAAGTATCGAACTCCTTTGGCCTTAGTATGGGACTCAGCCAAAAGCTCCAGTTAAATACCTTTCTAAAGCAAATTGTTACACAAAACATGTAAAAGGCATAGCATCTAGCTCCCAGGGAGACTGCTCTTTACAAATAATCTTGTCATGTATTTAACTTCTATACTTGAGAAAAGATCACAGCAAGAAACACAGAAGAGGGCTGGCAAGATGGCTCTGGACTGAAGCGTCCGCTTAGGCAAGCTCAGGAATGGCGGTTCAATCCCCAGCACCACGTGCCGCACCAACCCCGCCTTCAGGGCAGGCTGAGCCAGCCAGAGCCCAGGCATAGTAGTGCATGCCCGTAATCCCAGTGCTGGGGAGGCTGAAAGCAAAAGGATCATCATGAGTCTGAGCTGTGTAGTGAGACCCTGCAATAATCAAATAAAGTAAAAAAATGAAACTATCAAAAGAAAATTTGAAGCTGGGCATGGTGGTACATGCCTGTAATTCCAGCACAAAGGAGGCTATGGCAGGAGAATCATTGAGACTTCAAGGCCGGGCTGGACTACACAGTGAGACCCTATCTTCACAACCAGAACAAAAAATAAGATGCAAGTATTAGGAAAAATAATTTTACCAAAAAAACCTAGACTGCTAATCACCAACTTGCAGATGAAAAATTTTTTTGGTAATTTAAAGAATGTTTTAAGGGGTTGGGGAATAAGTGCTCTGTGGAATAAGTGCTTGCTTGGCAAGCACGAGGTCCTGAGTTCAATCCCTGGTAACACACACAAACACACACACATGTTTTAAATGTGTTTTCTCACTACAGCCCTACAAAAATATGTGCTGTCTTCATTGTTTTTATTACCCCCTTCCATAAATGACAAACTAAGGGCCAGAAAGGCCTAGTGAGTATCTGAGAGTGCTGCAGCCCTGTGTGTGACCCCAGGACCCTACTGCCTCTCTAGAGTTAGCAAGGAGAACTGCCCATCATACCATACAGAAACAGGTCCACTGAGAAGAAAGGGCTCACTGCTACAAGGTGACTCAACAAGCAAATCTGAGGCCCCCACTGCCTTGGTGCACCTTGAGCTTCTGTGTGAGGAGCCATGCTGGAAGGAGTGGACTTGGACAGTGGAGGGGCCCTGAGAGAGCAAGGGCGTGGTGTGCTGGGGCTGGGATGAGGACACTGGCCCTGTGTGCATATTGAAAGGACACATGCAATCCTGACACTGGACGAGTCCCTGGAGTGGGGCCAGCAGTGGGGCTAGGAAGCAGCAGCACTTACAGAGGGAGGAAGAGTGGAAGCAACACACAAGGTGGAACCTGGAGAGGGAGCCAGGAAGGGGAGGGAGGGAAAGCTTCCAAAAGGACTCTGAGATTTGGTTGGTCTTAAGGGTAGGACAGGCCTCAGGCTCCTGGCCGAGACCCTCTCTTCCCCACTCACTGGTGCCCTAGTGCCAACTGCCCATCAAAGGCTTTGTGTGCACAGCCATGTTGCTGAGTCTGGGACCCAGACTCTGCCCGTGACAAAAGAACCCAGAGACCCTAGTAGGGCATCTCTAGGAATACAGATCCCAAGCACCAGCCTGTTAGGCCAGCAGTGACAGACTACGGTATTAGTGCCAAAAGGCACCTGGAAAGCTCACAGTGCCAAGCTGAGCCCTCAGAGGCCCTCCTGGTTTCACAGTCCTGGCCTGGAAGCTAACCTGCTCCTTTTTCTCTCTCTCTGCATCCAGAAAAAACTTTCAGCTCAGGGCCCCTCTGAGAGCCCTCCACAGAGCTGTATTATAGTTGTGGTGGGGGTGAAGACATGGTTCCTCTAGGGTTCTAGGATGGGTCATGAGCTCTACACTCTGAGCACTTAGTTGATACTTAGGTTTAATTCATGGCTTGTAATTATTTATGAGTCTGCCTTTGCCACTAAACTGAGTTCCTCCAGGGCAGAGATGAACTCTGACTCATCTTCGAGCTCAGTGCTGGGGTAAAGTAGGCATTCAGTCTTATGTTGGGTGGGTTTGGTGGTCAGCTGGAGGGCGAATAGGATGGGCAAGGAGAGGTAGCTCTGAAAATAGGGCTTCAGGGTCAGTGGGGCAGGTAATGTCTTGTTTGCCTCTTGAGGACAGACTGGGATGCAATGGGGGTGTGGTGGGGAAGATGTGAGTGAAAGTGTAGACCCATACATAGCTGCCACAGCAGCCAGCATACTGGATAGGGCCATGCAGAGGAAGACAGTCTTGCTCTTGTGAGCTGGGTAAAATGAGACCAGATCGCAGGGCAGTTGGGGTTGGGGGTTACCACCCACATGCCATTGACACGGTCCAGTGCTGTGTTGGCCTTCCGGGCCTGCCCTGGTCTGGAAGGAGCAAAGGACCGGGCAGCAGGAGCTCTTGTGATTCCCGCGTCATCTGTATTCAGCCCTTCGCTGAGCCCTTGCCCTCTGACATCTAAAAGCCGTGCAGTTCAGCACGAGCTGAGCTGCTCTGAGGGCCTCAGCCAGCACCTGATGCAGATTAGCGCAGTTCTCGCAATAGCCTGCCGAGGCATGTGCTGTCAGCCCCATTCCATAGCTTAAGCCCCTGGGCCTCAGAGGTCAGCTCACCGATGCTGCAACCAGGGGTCCTGTCCAGTGGCCAGCCA